ACTCCTTGCCGTCGTGTATGCTAACGACGGATTCCTCCCTGACGGGCTGGGGAGCGTTCATGAGTGACCGCTCCAACCAGGGTCTATGGGGAGGTCACCATCTCACGTGGCACATGAATTGCCTGGAGATGCTAGCCGTGTTTCAAGCTCTGAAACACTTTCTCCTGGACCTGAGAAGCCATCATATGCTAGTTCGCGTGCCTGGAAAAAACGAAACGTCGCAACCATGTCGCTCTCTATTTGCGCGCGATTGCCGCGCATCTACATTTGAAATAACGAACTTGAGCACGTAAAAGACGCGGTATGTGAACGGCCCCTTACCCAGCTAACAGGGAACATTCTCAGAATTTTAGCTAATGTTCTGGTTCTCTCAAAGTTATGAACAATAACATTTTAAGTGACTTTTCAGAATACTTGTTCAAAGCTACCTGGGGCCAGATTCACAAAAATCTTCTTAAGCAAGATGTTAGGAAAAGATAAGAATTCTTAAGAAAATAAGATAAGAATGGTTAGAATCTTCCTTATGTGCAATTCTTGCAAAATTATTAAGTTACCAAATATTTTCTTATGAAAATAATTTTTTGCTTAAGAAAATGACAGTAGTATAATAGCTACAACAAATAAAATACTGTCAATTTTTAAATGAATCATTTTATTATCTTTTTTTAATGTAGCAATGCCATCCCAATTATTTATTTGAAAGTAAACTATAATAGATCATTAACGTTACTTATCCAGCATTAACAGTCATTTGAGAATTTCCTGCTGGGAAGTGATATTTGGCTAATTTGACATGGAAGACAAGAAAAGAAACAATGCCTTCAGTTGACATGGCCTGGAGGTTTTTATAGATGAAACAAGCGCATGAATAAAAATTTTCCTTGGGAGGTTGGATCACAGCCCAATGTAAGCGGCATGCATGGGAAAGAGCGGCGTCTGTTTCAGCAGTAATCAACTCCATTAGGGATGTTGATGTGGTGAAAAAGATTAAGTAAATATATTAAAATATACAGTATTAAGTTGCTATATAATTTTTTAATTTTTAATATTTGAAACAACCCAATAAATGCATTATTAATCTTACCTTTTGGGGATAAACCACAAGTTGGCACACTGTAAAACCTAACAAATGTCCTAGTTGACCTTAAATGGGGAGATCTGTTAGTGTTTAATGTTCTGTTATATATGGTTTTAAAAGGGTTTCTGTTATGTCTGTCTTTTTGGGGAGATTACCATTGTACTGAAGAGTAGAGCCTGTGGTTAGGTCGAGGATGGATTTACAATTGCTATTTCTGATTCTTCTGTCTTTACATCTTTGATGCACATTCTTTGTTTAAATAAATACAAACTTTGGTAAAAAAAAGAATATAAATTTTCTGTTGGTTTCATATTTTAATATAAATAACTTACATTAACAACAAAGCACAGTTTAATCATAGTACAAATAGTTTGTACAGTAAAATCACAATGATTACATGTGCATTAGAATAATCTCTTGTAGCCTATATTTACACAGTTACTGTAGTAGTGTGATACTCAAGTTTCCAGTTGTAACGGGACTCACTTGATAGAACCAAATGCGAGCTTTATTTACACAGTAGAGTGCTCAAAACAGGCAAGGTCAAAATCCAGCAAACAATATAATAGTAATCCAAATGAACAGGCAATGGTCGAAATCCAAGTGAGCAGTCAAAATTACAAAACAATGAAACAAGACTATGACTATGGCAATGGCAATGAAAACGCTTGGTAGAGTCTGCAACAGCTAAACAATACTTCACAATGTGAGTCAGAATAGGTGTGTTCGACATGCAGCGCTGCGCAGACCGATTGGCGAGAGTAGCCACTTGCAGTCGGGGCGGAATTGAAAGCAGACCCGTCAAGTCGGACTAGGGGTCGCTAATAATTTTCGAGGGGTCGCCAAGTGCACTCGTTTTTAAAAATTTTTTTAAAATTAAAATATATTTCATTTATAACAGCACAATAAATATTTCAATTCTAAATATTTAAAAAATAATTCATTTATGGAAAGAGAAGAAATTCTCTTAACGTCGAGAATTTTTTGCAGCGTATCGCAAGAGTGGGAACATACAGACGTAACTTTAAAAAAAGACGCAGGAAAGAGAAAATGGCAAAGTGCCAGAGAAGATAAAAATGAATGCGCTAAAAAGAAAACAAGGACTTATTTGGACAGTTATATTGAATTCGGTTTCATTGAAGCAATGGACAAGGTGAGAATTGAGTGTGTAATCTGTGGTGAGAGACTAGAGAATGAAAGCATGAAGCCCTGCAAACTATGGAGACATCAGAGCACCAAACACCCACAGACGGTTCGTAAACCCAGAGAATTTTTCCTAAGGAGAAAAGAACTTATGTCAAATAGACCCCAGAACATCAGAGATGCTTTGACTAGAGCTGGAAATGAAAATAGGCAGGCGACGGTTGCATCCTTTGAGTGCGCTTTCCTAATTGCCCAATCAAAAAAAGCCACACACGATCGGGGAAACTCTGCTCAAACTCGCATGTGTGAAAATGGCAGAAATATTGTGTGGGGCACAGGTGGCTTCGAAACTAAAAAGTGTACCTCTGTCCAATAATACAATAAAAGACAGAATCGACAGAATGGCGAATGATGTTGAGAACACGTTGGTTGAAAAGTTAAAGATGCACCCATTTTCTATCCAACTTGACGAAACGTCTACTGTGGCAGATGAAGCAGTCCTCATTGCATATGTGCAGTACACTGAAGACGGCGAAATAAAACAGGACATACTTTTGTGAACTAATTTGTCTACAACAACACAAGGAGAAGATATTTTCCACGCGACTGACACGTACTTCACCAAGCATCACATTCCCTATAATAATTTAGTCGCATGCTGCACAGATGGAGCTGCTTCAATGATGGGAAAAAATAAGGGCTTCAATACACGTTTGAAGGAAAAGGCTCCCCACTGTCTTGTGTTTCACTGTATGATACACCGTCAAGCCCTGGCCAGCAAACACCTCTCTGATGAACTTAATGAAACGCTGAAGACAGTTGTAAAGATCGTTAACTTTATTAAAGCCCGTCCGGTAAACAAGCGAATCTTTGCGGAGCTGTGTGAAGATGAGGTGCATCAGACACTCCTCCTTCATACCGAAGTGCGCTGGCTATCAAGAGGCCAAGTGTTGGTTCGTTTTATTGAACTGAAAGAAAAATAAAGGAGTTCCTGAAACTGAACAACCAGAAACTGTTTGACGAAATGACAGATGAATTTCTTATCAGAACATCATACCTGGCGGATATTTTCAGCCTCTATAATGAAACAAACAAGCGCATGCAGTGCGCGGCTGCAATTGTGCTGGAATGCAAGGAAATTATTGACTCATTTGTGCATAAAGTGGACTTTAGGAAGAATAAACTGATAAAACGTGACTTTCCATCACTTCTCAAACAGACTGGGGGAAATTTACCTGAATCCTTGAGCAAAGAGTTCACACGTCACATGGAACGGCTACAGGAGGAGATGAAATAACGATTTTCGGATGTTAATGAACATGTCGCCAAATGCGCATGGGTAATGGATCCATTCACCGCAAAGGAGGAGGACGTGGAGTATTTAGAAGCGGAGGACGAGCTCTTGGATATCAAGTCTAATTCTCTTCTGAGGAGATTCTTTACCGAACACGGGTACAAACGGTTCTGGCTGGTGAAAGGACCCAACGTCGCACCCAAGCTTGCGCACCATGCTACAACCAGACTCATCCTGCCATTCGCCACAACATACCTGTCCGAGACTGCTTTTAGCTCTCTGGTAACCATCAAAATGAAGGCACGCAACAAGCTGGAAGTGCACAATGACTTTCGTCTGGCTGTTACGAAAATCATGCCTAATATCCAATCTCTAGCCCTAGATATGCAGGCCCAGAGTTCACATTAAATAGCCTTTAACAATTAAATAAGGGCTTAATTCAACCAGGAACACAAGAAAAGTCATGAAAAAACACATAACTTAAAATATTCAAATAGTTATTATGCAATGGTTATTGTTGTGTTTTAATTGTATGTATGTTTTTAGTTTTTAGAATACAAAACAAAAAAACCACAATAATACATTAATTATCTGATTAAATTATATTCATGTTAATAGATTTTAATTTGCTCCTGTTCGTTCATCAGTTAAAAAGCAGAGCCTGAAAAGAAAAGTCTGTTCTTGTGAACCCTTGCATGTTGTTACAGGGTTTTAAGGTAATAAGTGAAATGGATAGATTTGTTTGATATTTACATTAACAGAATAAAATGTGCTGCTGTTATTTGTTCATCAGGTTTAGGAAAAAAAAAGTGGAACCTGTTGTTGGGAAAAAAAATCAATAGTTGCAAGTTGCAGCTAATTGTTTGCATTCTGCTGTTTTTGCATTGATTAAAAACATATACAACTGACTGTCACATTAAATGAAATGTGTGTGCTAGTGTGTTTGAATGGGGGGGTCGTTAAAAATTTTCAGTGTTAAAAATAGGGGTCTCCTGAAAAAAAGGTTGGGAACCACTCACTGCTTTATTGCATATGCAAGTTCAATGGGCAGAGTAATACAGTGTTTACTCAAATCACGGAGTGAACTAAGAAATGACAACAGCATATACGACCTGGATCTTCGTGCAGCAGGATAGTCAATACAATGTGAATTTAACAGCTTTATTTTGCCAGCTGGCAGCTTTATTCTTAACCCTGTGGAAGTCTTGACAGTTTACGGACGAATTACATTTCTGCTTATTACTTTAAATGTTGACAACGCTTTCATGTAGGCTCCTTGGTGCTTGCTGTGTGGAACATCGAAAAATATTCAGTAAAAAACGAAGAAAAGCTGGACGAAATGCATTTTAAGTCGTTGCGCTGCGTATTAATACAACAGAATATTTTTGAAAGGGACGTCTGCTGTCCGGATGAACCAATCACAGTCGGGATAATGGGTGTTTTAGTCGATCCTTCAAAGTGATAGAAATCGAAACTGAAAGTATAATTCAGCTTCGGATAATAAAACGCCATTTCAGACTGCTGTAAACCAAGCTTACAAGCTCCGTTTAATTTACCGGTAAGTCCATTAATTTAATTCACATAACCTGTGCGATGTTATCGCATAAATGCCTCGACGTTAGATGTGTGTGTGTGCGCCAGGCCAGTTTAACCATATGGGCAATTGCCCAGGGACACCGTCCAGGGGTGCACCAAGCAAATAAATGTTCTGCGGTAAAACAAGCGATGTTTTCTCAAACGTCTATCTAGCCGTGGCCTATACGTTACCCTTTCATCAGAACATATAAGTTATCCGTTTTGTTAAAAGTTTTTTTTTCTTCTCTCATGCGTGAAAAAGTGGATGCGCGATCTATCGCCAGATTCACACATAGGCTATAGCCTACTGCGTGAACCCTTGCGCTTTCGTTTCGACGGCCACATATTACTCAAACAGATTCTAGGAGCATGCTGTCGCGCAACTCCTGTCTCTTCAACTGAAATGCCTCGCTCATGGATGTGTGAATCCGCTACGGAGCGTCAGCCTTGCGCTTTCACGTTGTACTTTGCAGCCATTGGCAACCAAGAAAGGGGCAAATAAGTGTAAACGAGTGAGTTTGTAAATTTTATTTTCAGTTCAAATCCTCACAAAACTATATGTAGCTACATACAGTGCTTAACAAATTTATTAGACCGCCCGTCAAAAACTTCTTTAAAACTAAAAATTGTGTTATCATTAGGCAAATAACAAACTGAAACAACTAAATAGTCTTTATTCACACATAATAACCAAAAACTAATCAACCAAAAAATATAAATAGGCTATTTTATTTTTATTGTGTATGGCCTCCTTTGGCCTTGATAAAAGCTTGCATTCTTGCTGGCATACTTTTTATGTACTTTTCCACAGTCTCTGTTGTTACTGACTTCCAAATAGTTAGTTGTTCCCAAAGACTTGCTTTTGATTCAACTTTTGTGCAATCTATCTTAGAATCATTCAATCCCGACAATAATTATATTTTAGCATTATAAACACTACTGTGACTAAAGATCTTACACATACTGGTGGATTAACCATTACAGAAACATAACATTCCGTAATTTTGGTAATCACCAATACTTGGTTTAGGGCAGCTGTGGCATAAACCTATTGGGTGGTGGTCTAATAAATTTGTTAAGCACTGTATATGTAATTGCAAACAAGACCATGCACTCATTGTTGCATTTCTGAAAACACCCTTTTTACACAAGGGAGTAAAACATTAGAAAATGTTTTTGTAAATTAAATATAAATTAATGAAAAATGAGCTGAGGACAACAATGACTCTAAAAAGATTATCCACTCTTTCTTTTTTTCCATAGAGTCTGAAGTGATTAACAGATTGGATTATTATTATACCTGTAACAGTTGGCTTCACTAGTTATAAAATGTTTCAATTTGCTGCATACAGTTCAGATTTATATCACATCTTAGAACAGATTACACCTGTAATACACTGTAAAAAGTGGTAACCTGATTTTGTAAGGATTTTGTAGCCTTGTTATCAGATCAGTTTGTTAATATAACATTTTGCAAAAAAAAATGAATCTAAATTATCACATGAAGCACATTTCATTTATTCATTTTTTTATCTATTTATTTTGGGGGGGGGGGTTCACCAAAGAGTCTTAATCCGCCACAGCTTTAGCAGGCATGTATACATGATACTAAGCGGGGCAGATGGTGCCCGAGACCTCCCGAGCTCAACAGCGCCCCACAATTTTGCTACGTAAATCTGTGGTAAAAAGGGGAACTGCGGCGCGCTCTAATTTAGAGCCATTGGGGCAGATTTGAGACTGCCCTGCTTATTTTCACATTACCTTACGTGAACCTCGCTCCACCAAGACGATATCAATCCGCTTCAGCTATGTGTCTGCATTAGGTCAGTAATTTGCCATGTCTGTTTTATTTTTCTTTGTGGAGTAGTGGATCAAATTAACAAAGTAGGCTATACGTTAAATCCTTTAGTTTAAATGTGCTCACATGAATAGCCTTTATATGGTTCTGTTGTGTTTGTTTTGTTTATTCTGAGAATAGACATATGATCGTCTTTCCTCACCCGAATTGCTCCACAACTTGTAACATTTTAAATCAACATTTGGTGGTGATAAATACTATATTAAGGCAATTATTATACAGTATTTTATGCATGTAGCATTACTTCAAGCCTGTCAATCAACATTAGCGCGCCACCCACAGGATAACGCAAGGACATCTCTGCCAAAACTTTGTCCCCACGTGTTCAGAGATTCGAATATAAAGCTTACAGAATGTTTTTCATCTACGCCCGGCGTAGACAATGCGCATCCATGCTGACACATTCTCCCGCAGTGATGGCTGAGACGACTTCACACTGCAATGGCTACATCTACTTATATAAAACTGAATTGCTCAAGACATCATAACAAGTGAAGCCACCGCGCCATGATTTTATTGAGTAAACATTTTCTAACAAGTCCACGGTTTTTATAGGCTATCTGAAGTCTCCCTGCACAGATTTCTTCAAACGAACATTAAAAATAAAGGCAGCAGGTTAAGTAAAATATAATGAATGTAATACAATGTTTCTCTCTATAAAGTAATTTTTTTTAGCTGACTATCGAGTTAATGTACAATAAATGTCTTTCCTGAGGTAAATGTGACTTTACGTGACATTGTTTTACTGACATCTTTCTGTGGCTGAAAAATCACATTTATAGTTTGTATTTTGTGATAAAACTGACAGAATATGAAAGCTGATACTTTATTTCTGAATAAAAGTAACAAAGCACAAAACTTACTGCGATTATTGGATGGCAGGCACGCTACATAATGAATGAAATTAAAGACGTGAAATATTTCCAAGCATTATAATACTGTCCTTCCAAGCAAGATGTCGAATGGTACAGTTTCTTTTAATAATCCCAGATCATATGTAATTACATGCTGTACAGAAATATAGTTTTTATTAGGTCAGTTACTGTCGGCAGTGTGGTATAGCCTAGTCTACACCGAGCTTCGATTGATATCGCTTATCCTTCCCGAAAAGACCATAAACATTACAGTTCACGTCTGCAGTAAAAATTAACTAACAGACATGAATCCTAAAAAACTAATAATGTCAGAGCAAATCATGACTTTTCACTTTATACCAGTGTTAATTTTGACAGCAAATTTTTATTTAGTTTTAGTCATAGTCTTTTGACTAAAATGCCATTTAGTTTGAGTCATATTTTAGTCATCTGAATTGTTTTTAGTTTTAGTCTAGTTTTAGTCGACTAAATATCATAAGATTTTAGTCGACTAAATCTACAGTAAATTTAGTCGGCTAAAATCTAATGGGTTTAGTTACAGTGCATTTATTAAGCATTTCTCTAAAATTTCCAAACTCATTATATATGTTTGATATTAAAGTTTTTTCATGATAGACACTGATTTAACTGCGGTGACACACAACATGCCTTTATGTTAAAATTATTAAAACCACTTCTCATAAAGAACAAGAACATGGTCTTCTTTTTAATGAAATACCAATGGTTATATAGGCTAATTATGCATTCTTTATAGCAACTTGTTTACCATATTCCTCATTCTTTTAAGCAGACATATTTATTTCTATAAATAAATTTAGATTAATCTTTAGGGCTACTAAAGTTTTTCAGTCAAGAGCAGTGAGTGACTTT